CCTGTTGTTTTGTACCATTTCAAACACAATAGTAACTAGGAAATTAATATTTTCCATGTGTGCTGTGTATTTAAGCTTAAATAGAAGCTGATAATTATTGAGAATATTGATAAATTCTTATTCTACAACCATGTGAGACCAAACACACAATGTGTCAATATTAATACAGAAGTTAACGATATTATGTGACTGATTCCCCTCATAAAGCAGTTAATGGGGATAAAAAAGTAGCCCTCAACAAGAGCTCCTGAAGAGAAAATAAACTGCCTTTGCACTTACCCCAACCCCCATGGACTGCACGCAGTTCAAGAATGTGGCTCACCACCATTTTCTCAATAGTAACTAGGGATGGGTAATAAGTGGGTTGCTCATGGTGGCTCACAGCACCAGGGATCCAGGTTTGATTCCACCCTCAGGCGACTGTCTGTGTGGAGTTTGCACGTTCTCCCCGTGTCTGCGTGGGTTTCCTCCGGGTGCTCCGGTTTCCTCCCACTGTCCAATGACGTGCAGGTTAAGTGGGTTGGCCACGCTAAATTGCCCCACTGTGTCCAGGGATATGCAGGCTAGGTGGATGAGCCATGGGAAATGCAGGGTTACAGGGACAGGGTTGGGGGGGGGTGGGGGGGGGGGTGGGGATGAGTCCAGGTGGGATGTTCTTCGGAGGGTTGGTGTGGACTCAACGGGCTGAATGGCCTGCTTCTACACTATAGGGATCCTATGAATCTATGAAGTGCTGAGCCAACCAGTGTCACTGTCATTCATTAAAAGAATCAAATAAAAAGATGGTGCTGGAAGAAAAAGAAAATCTTCATATCGTTGCATTTTAGGGGTTTATTTCTGAGTAGCTCTTTGACCAAGTTTTTGGTCACTTGTCCTAAGAATTCTCTCAGTCCTTGCCAACACTTAACACTCAATCACCATCACAAGCCGAACCTGCCACTCCCCCCTCCCCATTCCCACACCGATATCTGGTCATTTACCAAAATGCAGTTTGTGGGAACTCACTGGGAACAAACTAACTGCCCTGCTTTCTATACTGCAACAGCATGTCCACTTCAGAAATATTCCACTGACTGTAAAGTGTTTTGCAATGTCCCGAGGTGGTGCAAGGCAGTATACCAATATCTGCAACTCATTGTCAATTTTGTACTTCGTAAGGCTGCAGGGACACCCGTCGGGATAGTCATACAGCAGCGAAACAGACCCTTCTGTCCAAACAGTCCAAGCTGACATGTTCCCAAACTAAATCAGCCCCCATCTGCTTGTGTTGGGCCTATATCCCACCAAACGTTTTGTATTCTTGAACTTATCCAAAAAGTCTTTCAAATGTCATAACCGTACCTGCATCCACCACTTTGTCTGGCAGTTGATTCCACACATGGACCACTCTCTGTGTGAAAAAAGTTGCCCTGAACTTGAAAATATGTCCCCTAGTTTTGAACTCCTCACCCGAGGGAAAAGACCCTGTCATTCACCTTATCTCTGCCCCTCATGATTTTATAATGTCACTCCTCAACCTCCTACGCTCCAGTGAAAACAAGTCCCAGGCTTTTCGGTCTCCAAATAAAAGTTGCTGTTGTCTACTAGCCATTAAACTAAAGATTTCATTAAATGCAGGGCCAGTGCAAGTCACGATATAGGAAAGATATTTGCATAACAACCTGAACACAATACTGGACTGAGATACTTAAGTGAATTAAAATCAACCAACAGGAGTTAATTAAACACATACAAAAAATAATCTTAACGCTTGCAGAACAATTCATAATCAAAATGAATATACATTTCAACATAAGTCACATTTGCATAAATTAAACTTATGATTGTCTTTAGTTTCAAATACACAAGGGTCCATTTAAATAAAACAAAATTAATTCTTCTTCTTCCATCGAAGAGAAGCTGGCAAATGCAACAAACAAAGAACACTGTTAGAACAGCACCCCATGCAGTATGGTGTAAAGCCACAGTCTGGTTAAATTTGCAAAAATCTCTCTCGACAATAAATGGGGAGCATCAACTTTCCAATGCCTAATTTATTGACCGTCAAAATCATGCTGTCAGAGTTGAACTTTGCAAAGCTGCTCAATTCCTGCACTTTGTTTGTTCGCCTTTAATTTTGGAGAAAATGTTGAAGGAGGAAATTCTTTCTGGAGTTTCTGTGTCTCTGCCTGAGCTCTGTGCACAGCAGACTGGACAATATCCCTGATAATAAGGTGTAGAGCTGGATGAACACAGCAGGCCAAGCAGCATCATAGGAGCAGGAAGGCTGACATTTCAGGCCTAGACCCTTCATCCAGCTCTACACCTTGTTATCTCAGATTTTCCAGCATCTGCAGTTCCTACTATCTCTGGACAATATCCCTGTCGACAGAGTGGAGGGAAGGGCAGCTGAAAACTCCAGCCAGACTAATGCACATCCCTGGGATTGCTGTTGTGCACCTTCTCTGTGGTTGTAATTCTATATTCTGCATCAACAAATATATTCTGTATTCTATTCTATTACCCTGATGTATTTATGATTTCGCTGGGTTAGCATGCAATATAATACTTTTCACTGGACCCGAGACATTTAACTAATTTCTCTCTACAGATGATGCCAGACTTGCTGATTTTTTCCAGCAATTTCTGTTTTTGTTTCTGATTTCCAGCATCTGCACTTATTTCAGTTTTTAACACTTTTCATTGCATCTCAGTACAGGCGTCAATAATAAAATCAAATCAAAATCTTGACATCGCAGATGGTGTGCATGCCAAGGGGAAAACTCTAGTTAGGATAATGGTCTTCCTAGGCCAGTCACTCACCTCAATTGGTTACCCGCACTGGAAGGCATGCCCTGCTTTGTGCCCTCAATCATGCCTCTTTGAAAATGACCCTGAGATGGGATGGCAAACCTCAGAAGAAAGGTTTGTAACTGCTGGTCTCCGCCGATGGGAGACGAGGGGGATTGCGGAGGGTGTTCGTGGCCAGAGGTGGAGATTCCTCCCTGTATCTTTAAGAAAAAGATGCTCAGGCTGTGGGAGATGGTCAGAACTGGCGATGCTGGAGTCAGCGATAACAAAGCACGGAGCTGGAAGTACACAGCAGGCCAGGCAGCATCAGAGAAGCAGGAAAGCGGACATCTCGGGTCGGGACCCTTCTTCAGCTTTCCTGCTCCTCTGATGCTGCCTGGCCTGCTGTGTTCCTCCAGCTCCACGCTGTGTTATCTCAGGCTGTAGGACATTGTTGATGCATCTCCAGTTGGACAGGTCAGCAATCCACCTTGGTGTAGACAAGATTAAACCACATTGGCGTTGAACTGGAGTCTCAGGCCAGTCAAAGCAGAGAAAGACAGCAAGCTTCCTCCCTCTGAAAGGAACTGAATGCACCTTAACAACAGACCAATATCTTTTTCACAGATACTGGTTTTTAAATGAAAAGAAAAGTTTCACAGCGTTCTTTTAAAAATTAAAAACAAATTCAGAAATCAAGGTTAAATTTCCTGCCTCTAAGACTTCCAACGCAGTCGCAAAGCCACAACACCCCCTTTCCCATTCAAGGAATTTCTGATTTACCTATTTTTTGTTCTGTCTCCAGTCGAGAGTTCACCATTTTCAAGGATGTTTACAGTAGCTCCAATCTGCGCATGTTCCGGACTAATTAATTATGATAAGTAGGTTTCCTGTGGCATTGGCTCCAGACAGATTAGGCTCTGATGTCTTCAAGTTTAGGAGCTGGGAGGGGGGAAAATGAAGCCGGCTTTGGAGTCAAAGCTACGGTGAGTTGCCTGCTGAGGAACTTCAGAGCGAGTGCCCAAACCTTGCTGGGTGTGTGGGCACTGGAAGATCAGGTCATTTCTTGCAAATGCCAAGTTAGACACTAACCCTCTGGCATTAACCTGCAGCTCAGAGAGATCAACCCTGGAGAAATACCACTGGGGCATGACGGAAGAAACGTTCACTTTCTTTGAAAGGCTTTCATTGTGAGGCTTAAACCAACCCAAGACAGGGAAATAAAAAAAAAAATAGGATTTTTGAAAGGTTACTGAGCGAGGAAGTGAAATGATGGGAAGAACAGTCCAACTACAGTTAGCCCTAACACGAAGGCCTTCAAAAAATAATGTAAGGAATAACAAGATTGCTCAGATTTAAGTGACCTGATGATTCAGATGCCAACTACAGCTTTACACCCATTCTTAATCCTCATACCCTTGCTATTCTGGGTATGTTCAGATACAGCAATGGTCCCTGAGCAGAAGCAAAGGAGAGCCAAGGTTGGCAGTGAGGCTGGAGGGGCTAGCTTTCTACACATCCAAATCTTGGTTCAAGCAATAAATCCACATGGCGCAGGAGGCAGTTCCTGGCTAAGCGATCTGAAATATTTGCCATCAAACTGAGTCTACATTCCTCATGAGTTATACTTCTGTCACACTCGCTGCCTATCTCAAGTGTTTTATCATGTAATGAGTAGAAAAACACAGCTCAGAGAGAGTTTTTTTTTTGGTAAGTTTACTCATGGGATGTTGGCAAAACTGGCTGGGCCAGCATTTGTCATCCATTTCCAAATGCCCTCAAGAAAGAGGTGGGGGATGAACTGCCTCCATGAATTACTGCAATCCATTTGGTCCAGCCAGTAGGCTGTTGCAAAGCAGGTTCCCGGATTTTATTCAGCAACAGTGAAGGACAGCGAAAAAGTTTCTAGTCAGGATGATGCACAGCTTGAAGGGGAACGTTCAGGTGGTGGTGTCCCCATGTATCTGCTGCCTTTGCCCTATATGGTGGTAGCAGATTTTGGTCCTTTGCTGCAGTGTGCCTTGTAGACTGTACAGACTGCAGACATAGTGTGTCAATGCCAGGCAGAGGGAACAGTGGGTCAGGACAGAACAAATACCCAGGTGAAGGGAACCATATTGTGAACATTTTGAAGGCAGGTTGGTAGGTAGTGAGATGTGCAAGACACAGATCACCAAGAGGGTCATGGCGGCTGAAGAAGTGAACAAGGTCAGAAATAACACGACACCAGGTTACAGTCCAACAGGTTTATTTGAAATCACAGGCTTTCGGATCGTTGCTCCTCCGTCAGATGAAGTCATTTCACCTTTGCCTCCCTCCCGAATGCACCTGACTCAAAGCAACTAAAAGGGAGGAGAAAGAAAGATGTACATTTATATCGCGCCTTCCCCAACCAAAGCGTTTGTGTTAATGAAGTTTTTTTTCCTGTAGTGTGCGATGCAGCAGCCAACTTGCATGCACCAAGCCCAATCAAAATTAGTAATGCAAGATCTTTTCAGTAGAAAGGCATCTAGATGGATACACGAGTAGGAAGGGCACAGAGAGATATGGGCCAAATGCTAGCAAATGGGGCTAGATTAATTTAGGCTATCATGAGGGGCATGGATAGGGTAAATAGACAAGGTCTTTTCCCCGGGGTGGGGGAGTCCAAAACTAGAGGGCATAGGTTTAAGGTGTGAGGCGAAAGATCTAAAAGGGACCTGAGGGGCAACTTTTCAACACCAAGGGTGACGCGTGTATGGAATGACAGGAAGTGGTGGAGGCTGGTACAATTACAACATTTCAAAGGCATCTTGATGGGTATGTGAATAGGAAGGGTTTAGCGGGAGAGGAGTCAAATGCTGGCAAATGGGACTTGATTAATTTAGGATATCTGGTCGGCATGGACCAGTTGGACCGAAGGATCTGTTTCCTTGCTGTATATCGGAATGACTCTATAACTCTATAGTGGTCATTCTTGTGAGGTTTTCATCGACGGATAAATCTTGGCCAGTCCAGCAGCGATAACTGCTCTGTGTGTCTTGGCAATAACAGTCACCTTTGCTAACACCCAGAATCAGGTGTAAAATGAATGGGAGAAACGCAGCCAGTTACAAGGTGGTGCACAGATAATGTACAGGGTCAGTATGGATGGTACATTGGAAGTACCTCAACCATAGACACAACAGACACATTCCTAGAACATGGTGATAGAAGCTTTAGACTGTAGCTTACGTTATAAGCTGAGGGCTCTTGTGGCAGAGCGGTAGTGTCCCTACCTCTGAGCCAGCAGACTCCAGATCCAAGCCCCACCTCCTCCAGAGGTGCAGAATAATATCTCTGAATGGGTTAATTTGGAAATATCCCTAAAGCTGTAATCTGAAAATGCTGGGTGTATCTAGTGTGTTTGTGTGAAAGGGATCAGCAAAAAGCTACCACAAAGGAGCGGTGGGCAGGACTTATACAATTAATGATAGGGGCCTTGGGTCGTGTTGTCAAACAACGGGACCTAAGGGTTCAGGTACATAATTCTTTGAAATTTGTGTCACATATGGACAAGGTGGTTAAAAAGGTGCTTGGCACACTTGCCTTCATTGCTCAGTGCTTTGAGAATAGGAGTTGGGAAGTCATGTCGAGATTGTACTTGGCATTGGTGAGGCCGCTTCTAGAGTGCGGTTCTAGTCACCCAGCTATAGGAAGGATATTATTAAGCTGGAGAGGGTTCAGAAGAGATTTACCAAGATATTGCTGGGTATGGAAGCTTCGAGCTATAATGAAAGGCTGGATAGGTTCAGACTTTTATCACTGGAGCGTAAGAGGTTGGGAGGTGACCTTATAGAGGTTTCTAAAATCTTGAGGGGTATAGTTAGGATTAATGGTAGATGTCTTGTCCCTAGGATGGGGGCTTTCAAGATTAGGGGGCATATTTTTAAAGGTGAGCGGAGAGAAATTTTAAAAAAAGATATGACGAGTAAATTATTTACACAGAGGATGGATCGCGCGTGGAATGAACCTCCTGAGGAAGTGGTGGATGAAGATACAGTGACAACATTTAAAAATCACTCGGATAAGTACGTGAATTGGAAAGGTTTGGAGGGATATGGCCCAGGAGCAGGCAGGTGGGACTAGTTTAGTTTAGGATTATGGTCGGCATGAACTGGTTGGACTGGAGGGTCTGTTTCATGCTGGGTGACTGTGAAAACTTGCAACAATTAACATAGATATAGACCAGGTACTATCACCAGACTATCAATGTAAAGGCTCCCTGAATGTCTGGGGACCTGTTTGTTCTAATGATTTAATGTTCTGTTTTAATCCAGCTATGGCAGATAGTAGAATCTGAATTGAATAAATATCTGGAATTGCGAGTCTAATGAGGAACCATTGTTGATATTCAGGAAAAACGTTCTGAAGAAGGGTCCAGACCCAGAACATCAGCTTTCCTGCTCCTCTGATGCTGCCTGGCCTGCTGTGTTCATCCAGCTCTACACCTTGTTATCACCGGGTTCACTAATGTTCTTTAGAGAAGGAATTGGCTGTCCTCGCTCACGTGGCTCCATATCCACAGCAATGTGGCTGACTCCTGACTGCCTTCAGGGCAATTAAGGATGGGCAATAAATGCCGGCCTAGCCAGCAATGTCCACGTCCCACGAAGGAAGTTTTAAAAATGCACAGCCAACAGCAACCCTTGGTGCTCCAAAATCAGTTGGGAAGATGGATGTGTGGAGAGTATGGCACAAGTGTCTCTGGCACTTCAAAGTTTTCTCTTTTTGCTGGAAAATATTTCAGACGACAGCAAACCATCTGTTTCCAAGAAAGCTGTTGACCTGACCAGACCTTCTCAAACAGGAAAACAAAACAAACCAAGAAACCAACTCCCCTTGGAGGGATTGGGTTTACTCTCAGCAATCATACTAACACAGATTATCAAAGCTGCATATTTCAGGGAAATTAATTGTACAGTTACACAGCATGGAAACAGACCCTTCAGCCCAACTCGTCCATGCTGACCCAATATCCCAAATTAATCTAGTGCTGTTTGCCAGCATTTGGCCCATGTCCCTCTAAACCCTTCCCACTCATATACCCATCAAGATGCCTTTTAAATGTTGTAATTGTACCAGCCTCCACCAATTCCTCTGGCAGCTCATTCCATACACGCACCACCCTCTGCGTGAAAAAATTGCCCCTTAGGTCACTTTTAAATCTTTCCCTTCTCACTTTAAACCTATGCCCTCTCGTTTTGGACTCCCCTCACCTGGGAAATGATCTTCACTGTTCGTCCTATCCATGCCCCTCATGATTTTATAAACCTCTACAAAGTCACCCCTCAGTCTCTGACACTCCAGGGAAAATAGCCCCAGCCTGTTCAGCCTCTCTCTATAGCTCAAACCCTTGTCAATTTTTTTTTCTGCACCCTTTGAAGTTGTGGAGGTTAATTGGGAATTTGCTGACAGTTATGCAGAAATTATGCGTGCATTTGATTTTTGTAGTCCAGAATTAAATCTTTGTAAACAGAATTAAAAATTGTGGAGGGAAACAGGATCAATACTTGGGTACCACTGCATGTACGTACACACTCTCAGACACCCACACAGACACACCTAAAAATAAAAGTCTCATGCTCCATGATCATGGGTTAATATGTTATGGCCATCTGGATGGAAGCCAAACTTAGTACAAGAACGTCAATGTGTTTAGGATGGACTGCAATTAGAAACTGCAGCTGCTATCAGTCTTGGCAGGACTTCAGCCAGATTTTCACATAATTGCATCCAACCAAAACGTTTCTACAATGTATACCGATAATTGCGAAAGAAAGTGTGCCTGGGATGAAGTGACTAGCCCAAGAAAAAAGTGCCATTTTCTTTAAAATCGCAGGAGTTGAAAACAGTCTGCAGCATCTGCTGCCAAAATACCAAAGTCTCTTACATCGTAGAGGTGGCCAAATGCAACACTGAGGGGGTTCCACACTCCAAACAGATTGGTCAACGGTAACCATAGGACTGAATAATGTCACATGGTTAAGGCAGACCAAACAGAATAGTGAAATGAAGGATTGTCAAAGTCAGAGCCTGCCCTGGGAGAAGATAACATAATAGCATCTCTCCCTCTCGAATTTGGTTGGCTGTATTTTGTACCTATAGTAAGCCTTAAGCATCTAGGACCTGGTCCTCCGTAAGTAGTACATATGGGTCAAGTGGAGCCCCTCATTAGAATATCACAAAGTACAGTTTAAAGAGACAATTATGGTCATTTCATAGCGACCTGACCTCCGAGTCCACAGGCTATCTCCCAATCCAGAGAACCGAGCTCACAATTTCAGGTTAACGCCCCAGGGCAGTTTGGACGGAGTGCCACACTGTTGGAGGTACTGCCTTTCACAGCACGTCAAACCGAAACCTTGCCTGCCCACTCACGAGGGCGTAAAAAAATCCCATGACGCAACCAGACGAAAAAAGGAGGGCATTCTCCCAGTCATTACCTTTCCATTAACCCACCCAACCCAAACCATCATCTAACTGTCTGCTTGTTACTAATTATGGGATCCTGCTGCCCACAAATTGCCAGGGGTCCCAATTTTGAGGGGATAAAAAAAATTATTTCACCCAGAAGGTGGTGGGAATCTGGAATGCACTGCCTGGGAGGGTAGTTGAGAGGGGGAACCTACAAGGTTTTTTTTTTTAAAAAAGTACTTGGGTGAACTCTTAAATTGTCATAACATTCGAGGCTATGGGCCAACTGCTGGAAAGTGGGATTGGTGTCAATTCAGAGTCATTTTTTGTCGGTGCAGACTCAATGGCTTACAGGACCTCATCTGCTCTGTGTACATATACACACTTCGAACAGCGATATTTCATGTGTGTTTCAGTGGCCATGGGGAGGTTTTGAAACTTGCTACCTAAACACAAATCCTTTCTTCCTTTGCGTCTGTACAAATGGTGTCCATATTCCTGTCAAAATGGTACTGATAATATCTGTATGGCAGAACACCAGCATTCTCTCAGTTGCTCGTGAGAACCATTCAAGGAGATTACTGGTCAGAATGGACATCCCACAGTCACAGGATTAGACTTAAATAGGATGGTGAGTTATGCATGGCAAATAACCAACTTTCCCATGGCAATCCACCAACCTACTGCAGCTTGGGAATAAGAACATGTTTGGAACAGATTCAGACAAGTGTGCCACGAATATGGAATGTTCGCAAGACAACAAGCTGCTTTCACTTTAGTTCAATTCAAAAAGATGCTCGAACTGCATCGGAAAACACGTTTTGAAATATTCCACACGGGTTGTTTGCAAAGTGATTTTGAACGTGTAACCTGTAACCAGACTCTCAGAAGTAAGCAGAAGCGTCAGCCCGAGCACAGATACCGGTCCCAAGGGAAATTCTGTCAAACTGTGATACTTTGCAGCTCAGAAAGAGAAAAATTCCAGGGATTCAAATAATTGGACAAAACGGTCTGGTTGTTCGCAACAGGCTCCTCAGAGAAAATGGCCGCACACAGACACAGGCAGAAAACGCAGGTGAATGGCCCACAATACCTAACTGCTACATTGTGAGAAAGTTAGTCCAGATAATGCAGATTAGCACTTACACAACATTTCCTTGGAAATCATGAGCGAATAGTTACAGAATGCTGTTTCTAAGAAGAGAGGTCAACCCTTACAATATTGTCAATTACACTGGAACATGTCCACTGATCTGATTTATTCAGAAGCCCATCCCATTTACATTTCACATAAGCTTCGCCACTTCTCAACAAATGACTTCAACAGGCTGCTGGAGAGACTCTGGTGCATCACAATTACCTGGCCTGCAAGCTCGGGGGGTGGGGGGTGTCAGGAGTTGTCTGTAGGCACATACACAGGCTCTTAATTACAATACTGTACCCTGTGGACGACTTCCCATCATTACTGGAGCACTCCGAGTAATGCAAGGGCAAGAATTTCTTTACCAGCACTGGCTGTGTTTGCAAATCTCTTTCCCACTAGCTGATTAAACCACCTTTAAACACTGCGTGCTAATCAACGTAACCTTGAATAAACAAAAATTATAAACACTCAGAGTCTGTGGAGATAACCGTATCCTGGCTGGGCATATCTTGTATTTTTTTTGCTGCAATAGAGGAGGGACTACTCTGTACCATGTCCCGTGACAGAAAAAAAACAATATTTTTGTATCAGAGTTGAGCTGCCACTACAAGGACAGCAATTTAGTGCCCGTTACATCATTGATATTTTATGCAGACATGCTACTTCGTCTCCCAACTTAAAATGTGGAATTGTCATTTTCTTCGGCAGCCCTGCCCGAAGGTAAGAGTTTGTGCCTGCTGCCTGTGCCCACGAGTGTGCCAGGAGCTCCCTTTAGCCTTTTTCCAAGCAATTTTCTCGACCATCACCAAGAACGCTTGTGAAACAACCCACCACAAAGGGCATCACAGCCAAACCTGAGCTCAGCATTTACACACATTTGTTTTGATTTGCTTTATTATTGCCAAACATACCGAGATACAGTGAAAAGTATTGTTTTTTTTGCTAACCAGACAAATCATACCTTACATATGTACATCAGGGTCACAGAACAGAATGCCGAATACAGTGTTACTGCTACAGACAAGGCGCAGAGAGAGATCAACTCTAATAGATGAGAGGTCAGGTTCGGTGGTCTGGTAACAGTAGGGAAGAAGCTGTTTTTGAATCTGTTGGTACATGTTTTCAAACTTTTGTATCTTCTACCTGACAGAAGAGGGTGAAAGAGAGTATAACCAGGGTGGGATGGGTCTTTGATTATGTTGGTTGCTTTCCTGAGGCAGTGGGGAGTATAGATGGAATCAATGGACGGAAGGCTAGTTTTTGTGATAGACCGGGCTGCGTTCACAACTCTGTAATTTTTTGCAGTCTTGGGCAAAGTAGTTGGCCATACCAAGCTGTGATACATCCAGATAGGATGCCTTCTGTGGTACAGCTCTAAAATTTAGTATGTGTCATTGTGGGCATGCCAGATTTCCTTAGCCTTCTGAGGAAGTTGGGACATTGGTATGCTTTCTTGGCTGTGGATGGGGAGGAGGGATGGGGGTTTTCCGGACCTCTGGCTGGGAAACGAGTGTACACTTCCTCAAGAAGATAGGACGGCCCTTTCTGTCGAGTGGCCCTCTGTTGGGCACGGAGTATCTTGGCAGGAGAGACCTCTCCCACAGTCCACAACCTGGTAACCTCACCACATGCATGGGCACCCTCCTTCCCAGTGACAGGGCTTTGTTTAAAGGGAGAGGGGTGTCGTCGGGGTGTAGGAGAGATCCTTTGGATGCGACTGGTTGGCTGCTTAAATCCCTTAACTGGTCCCCGAGGCAGGAGAGCCACCCACCAGCTCTCCCTATGACTGGCAGCATTCCACGGGTCTATGTGACAAGCACACAGTGCCTCACCCACTATCCGACGTACCAGACTGCATCCAGAAACTGGCCACTGTTTCCAGCTCAAACGGTGAAATAGTATCAGTAAGATGTCCATGGGCTAGAATCATCTATTTGGTGTATTTGCCTCCAGGGAGACATAAAGGCCAATTTTAGTGCCCCCTCACCCTCCTGTTACTATGGTCAGACCCAGTCTTCTTGACCACTTTGCAACGACTGGTCCTCCCAGAACATAGTACGCTGTGCATCTACTGATCACCAAAGACTTGCAATCTAGATAGCGCCTGTAACAGCCACCAGATGCTTCAAAGCGTATGACATCGGCTCTAAATCACTTTGAGGCACCCGTCCACTGGCCACACAAAGGCCACGAGTGACGCAGGAAACACGGTGGCTACTTTGTGCACAGCAAGCTCCAATGAATAGCTAACTGACTGTGCTCAGATGAGGTTTTTGAAGTGACGGGTGAGTGGTAAACGTTAGCTGGGACGTTCGGGGGCCGGGGGGTGCTGGGGGAAAGAAGGGTGAGTGGGGGTGCAAGGGAGCGGAGTGGAGGGAGGAAAGGAAGGAAGGAAGGAAGGAAGGAAGGAAGGGAAAGAGAGAGAGAGAAAGAAAGGGAGAGAGAAAGAACTTCCCTCCTCTTCTTCTAAGTAGTTCGATGAGATTTCTTACACCCAGGGGTGAGGGAAGATGAAGCCCTGATTTCATGTGGTTTCTGAAGTTGGGCCCTTCACACTTCTCTTTGTGTGCAGCATTTTCATCTCCTCGTTACCTCGGCCATGCTGACAGTCAGGCTCTTTCACATTTCTTGATTAACTGCCATGCTTTAACTTGCATTTTTCCCTCCCAAGTTAACTTAGTCACTGGTGCAGATTTCCAAGAGGAACAGCATCGCTCTCACCCCACTGCAATTTCTCTCCATGTCACCCAAGTGTCTCATATGGGATTGCCTCATGCTTGCTGCTGTTCTCTGATGGATTTGCTCCAATGCTTCACTGTGTCTTTGCCTCCCCCAAGAATCTGATCAGCTCCTGAGCCCCTTCCAGCTCCTCCACAGTCTGTATTCTCTTCAACATATAGTTGGTCACTTGCAGTGTACACATACTACATTCAGCACTGGTCTGAACTCACTAATTCACTCATGTGAAAAGAAGCAGCAAGATCCTTTTACTATCTCCGTAACCACCAGTGGCTCAGTGGTTAGCACTGCTGCCTCACAGCACCAGGGACCCAGGCTCAATCCCAGCCTTGGGTGACTGTGTGGAGTTTCAACATTCGCCCTGTGTCTGTGCGGGTTTCCTCCCGCAGGCCAAAGATGTGCAGGTTGGGAGGATTGGCCGTGCTAAATGCCTGTAGTGTACAGGGATGTGCAGGCGAGGAGGATTGGCCATGAGAAATGCAGGGATAGGGTAGGAAGGTGGGATGCTCTTTGAAGGAGCAGCGTGGACTTGATTAACTGAATGGCCTCTTCTTGCATTGCAGGGATTTTATGAGTGCAACCACAACTTCAGAATCAAACCCTTGTTTCAATGAAAAAGGTCCAGAAAGTTTAAAAAGAAACACAGATAAGAGTGTGACAAATGGTTGACTGTGTTGCATTGATGTCAGACAGCCAGTGTGACTTTAAGACAGTCGGATGACACCAAGACATTTTGAAGTTCCAGTATAATCGTCCTTGCCAGATCTTCAGTACCACAGTTCAATAGAGTCAGTGCAATGTATAGTCAGCTGTGTGTCGTCATAGTCACGTAATGTAGCTGCAATATGAATAAGCAGAAAACCGAGACTATGTGCACGTCTGAGATCTTGAAGCTGCGTAAATAGTTAGCGTTGTTAATAAACTACCAGCTCTGTCTCAGCAAGAAACCCCTCCTTTGAGGTAGATGTTTAATGAGCTAAGACGTAGGGAAATACTCAATGCATATCATAATGGCAATGGTGGTTAACCCAAAGAAAACAGGGTAGAGTTGCTGCAGTGTTTACCTTAGTTTCAGCGCTCCAGGCAGATTTCAAGCCTTAAAATGCTCTCGTGGAGTGGAATGGCAAAATCTAGCCAAGGCCGGGCTGTTGCAATCGCAGAATGAGGAAAGGCCCAGGAATGGCTGGAAGCCACGGTCAAAGTCAACAGACACAAGTCGATGAAAATTGCAGAGTCTTCTGGAGAGACTGAAAGTCCAGAAATGCAAGTTAACTTTCACAAATTGGGGCAGTAAAGACCATTCGGCCCCTCAAGGCTACTCCACCATTGGACTAGATCAAGGCTGGTACTTCACTTCTACACCATTGTCTTGTACTGTCTCCGCACCCCTTGGCATCTTTAGTGCATGCACTTTGCTTCCAATCCCTCCTGTGCAAAACAAAAACTGCCATAAACGGTGTATGTACACACTTTGGGTTGGAACTCCAAAGTAGATACCTAGAGGCCAACTTTAGGAGGGGGGTGAAGAAAATTAAATTTTGATTTTTCAGCCTGCACTCATTATTCAGACTTCAGCTTCTGTCCCACTGTGTGCTTCCTCTGTACGGATATCACTGCAGCTACCTATACCAGAGATGATGAACCAAGATGGGAACTCTTGCTGCTTCGAGACCACTCAGACTATGACTTTCTCCACATAACTTGAAGGAGGAGTATTTCTGAGCTGAAACACTCACATAGAACAATCTCTCGCCATTCATGAGAGAAAATTGCCTGTAAAATGGCTTTGAATAAAGATGTTCACGGTGTGTGAATGGCCGGGGCGGGGATGGAAAGTGAAGCTAACCTTCAAATTTAAACTGAGACGACCCAACTAAATGATTACACGAACATTCTCAGGTACCAGAATTTGAAGGTGAGTTACAGTTTTCAAAGTTAAGGCTCTTGTGGTGTAGTGGTAATGTCCCTACCTCTTTGCCTGGAGGGCTGGGTTCACATTCCACATGTTCCAGAGGTGTGTAATAACATCTCCGAATATGTTGATTAGAAAAAATACCTGCAGTTTTGAAATCACCACAGTCAAAGACAGAAAGCAAATTCCATCAACAGACAGGGATGATGCAGGGTTACAAAGTGAAAATTAGTTGTTAAACTGCAAATGGGATAACTGCCTCCCCAGGCAAATGAAGGTGTATTTCATGCGTCCAGAGCGGATTCAAGGAGGGGCGAGAAACGAGTTTGGTCCTAGTACGAGACTTGTCTACATCAGCCTGGAGCAGACTCATGGCGACAGAGTTGAGTTTGGGCCAGTGTGCCAACCGGTAGCGTCAGCGCCGTCTGCATTGGCCGTGGTTCGTCAAGGACTCATCGTGGCAAGGGTGTCGGAGGGGGCAAGATGGTGCTGAAGAACGGCAACTTTCATTCCAGCACCAGTGGCACAACAAAGGGCCCTCATGCCTGGCCACTGGGCCCATGGCCCATGATGAAAAGGAGTGTGAAGTTGGACATTATTTCTTCATTTTTCTGCCTTTACCTTCACTGTTTTGGTTTGTTTCTCCGTGTTTTAAGATGGTGTCAGACAGTAGCAACATCATACGGCACTTTTCACTGTATTTTGTGAACATATGTGACAATAAATAAACCAGATCAAGTAAATAGTATGTTTTTAGTTACTCCCTCATGGGAGGTGGACAGGGACAGCGTTTTGTAAAATTCGTTCATGGGGCACGTGTGTCGCTGGCTGGACCAGCAATTATTACCCATCCTCCATTGCCCAGGGGGCAGTAAAGAGTCAACCCCATTGCTGTGGGTCTGGAGTCACAAGTAGGCCAGACTAGTTAAGAATGGCAGTTTGCTTCCCTAGTGGACCAGATATGTTTTTAGCTACAATCGGTTGCCTTTAGACCTTCTTTATTTTGTTACAGATTTTTACTGAATTCAAATTTCACCATCTGCCATGATGCGACTCAATCCGGCATTGCTGGATTACTGGCCCAGTGACATTACCAATCCACCAACGACTCTCCTGCACCACAAGTTGTCCCTTCCCTGTCTGCCCTAGAACATTTCACAGGCAGTTAGGAGAATTCTGGAAATATATGTAGGCCTCACCAGATAAGGACGGCAGATTTCCTTCCCTAACACACATCAGTGAACCAGATGGGTCTTTAAGGCAAGAATGTTGATAGTTCCCATGACTGAGACCAGGTTTTAATTCCGGATTTAATTCATTGAATTGAAATTTCATTCACTGCTTGAATTTGCATCCCAAAAGGATTTCCCTGGCTCTCTAGTGACATTAAGACCACTGTACCTTCTAATCCTGAGTACAGTACAGTACAGTGTACAGTAGCCATACAAACCTCCATTTACATTAATTAATGTTATTATTAATGACAACGTGCATTTATTCAATGTTTTTCTGTGGCAGTAAATGTCCAAAGGTGCTTCATGGAGATATACAGAATTGATTAATTACAGGACTGAAAGAGGCCAATCTGTCCATTAAACTGTATTGGGGGGGAAATGTCTAGAATTCAACTCGTCCCACTCTCCTATCTTTTTCTCAGAGTCCTGGGAGTTATTATCTTAAGGTAATTATCCAATTTCCTTTTGCAAGCCACAATTGAGCTTGCCTCTGGCATGCTACTAAGCAGTGCATTCCAAATCCTAACCACTCGCTGTGTAATCAGAGAAAAATTAACACCAGACTAAAACATTAGAAAGGGTCACATTCTGCAGGGCTTTACAGGACACGTTTGTCAGGCAGTCTGTGTGGGTAATCTGTACTGATGAAACTAATTGAGCGACCAACGCGAGATAAGTTGTTAAATAATTAGTTGCATCTGCTCGGTGTCATACCTGCAGTACCCTGAGCGATAGACAACCTGCTCGCTGTTGATAATGAGTAAAAAAAAACAATTACAATGTGTATCTTGTGGCTGCATTTTTAAAATAAGATGCAAACAATTGTTACGAGGCACAGAAGCTGATGGTTGGGAAGAGGTGCCTTGCCTTGAGAATGTAATTGCTGAACTATTGGTAACAGCTCAAATTCGGCATATAAACAGTCTGTACTGTGTATATTGAGCAGAAGCTAAATGGTATGGGTACCAGACTGGAAGCTATCTCGAAGGGGATTAACTAAAACATCTTGCGTAGGAAACAGGAGTAGGCCATTCAGCCCTTCTAGCCTGCGCCAATCAATATGATCACAACTGGATGGAATGGTAGCTCAACGGTTAGCACTGCGGTCTCACAGTGCCAGGGACCCAGGTTCAACTCCGCCCTCGGGCGACTGTCTGTGTGGAGTTTGCACATTCTCCCTGTGTCTGCGTGGGTTTGCTCCGGGTGCTCTGGTTTCCTCCCACAGTCCAAAGATGTGCAGGGTAGGTGGATTGGCCATGCTAAATTGCCCATAGTGTACAGGGCTGTGCAGACTAAATGGATTAGCCGTGGGAATTGTGGGGTTATGGGGATAGGGTAGGGGAGTGGATATGGGTGGGATACTCTTCAGAGGGTCAGTCTGGACTTGATAGGCCAAATAGCCTGATTCCACATTGTAGGGATTCTGTTATCCAGCACAGTTCCTTTTCCCATTCACCTCATGGGATGCAGGCATTGCTGGTTAGATCAGCATTTTATTACCTGTCCTTAGTTGCCCTTGAGAAGGTGGTTGTGAGCTACCTTCTTGGAACTGCGGCAGTGCACATGCTGTAGGTTGACCCACGATGCCCTTAGGTAGGGAATCCCAGGGTTTTGACCCAGTGACACTGGAGGAACAGCAATATATTTCCAAGTCAGGACGGTGAGTGGCTTGGAGGGGAACTCATGGATGGTGGTGTTCCTGCTCTCTCCCCCATACTCTTTGATCCCTTTTGCTCTAAGAATTATATCTGACTCCTGCACAGGTAATGTAGCTGTTTTGACATGAATTTTGTTTTCGATCAGCAAACAACAAAATTAATTCACAGCATTGTGGGGAAAGAACTGAGGAGTGGGATTGCTGTTCGAAAGAGTCAGTGTAGACTCAATGGGCTGAATGGTCTCCTGTGCTGTCCTATTCCACGAGTCTATGAAAAATAGGCAGGGGACCAAAGGCTTGGTTGACAAATGGTATTGAGGAGGAAATGGAGGTGGAGGAGGCACAAAGGTTTATGGATGGAGTTATTGAAAGCAGGGCCACATATGAACAAAAGTTGTGGAGGCACAAGAGGGAGAATCTCAATGTTAGATGTGCATGATAGAGCAATAACTAGTTAGAAAAGAAAAACTGAAGACATAGACTAAAAATCAGAAGAAATGAAGCTGGTTTGGCAGCACCCTTGAAGACAGAGGATCAGACAGGCCTAACAAGAGGTCACAACCCCTGAAACATTAACTGTTTTTCCCTCCACAGCTGCTACCAGACCTACGGAGTTTCTCCAGCAGTTTCTGAAGGAACATCGCTGAACCGTAAAGAAACGCATTAGTAGCTAAAGACAGAAAAAGGATACCTACCAGATCGAAAGCAGGTCACAAATTACCATCCCAATTAAACTAAATTGATATTTAAGGTTTTGGGCAAGAGATTCATGAAGAACGTGAAGAGCTACTTTTCTTAGGTAGCGAATATCAAGCACCCAGAGTTCATGGTCCATGAAGGTGGTGGAAGTGGAGATGGTCGATGGTTTTAAGAAAAGATTGGATGGGCAACATCATGATATAAACTTGTAGCACTAAGAAGTTTGTGTGGGGAACAGCACTGTCTGGGTTGCTAGAGAACCAAGGAGTCAAATGGCCACTTTCTGGGCCATAAATAACTCTACAACTTCTAAAATGTTCAAGTCACTGATAGTGAATGGAATGGGGCAGGAAGTCAAAGTAGAACGACATTGCTCTGAGCAAACTAAAGATCGGGGAACGAACGTCAAATTATAAGACAATAACAAGTAGGAGCAGATGGAGGCCATTCAGCTCATCGAGTATGCTCTGCCATTCAATGAGATCATGGCTGATCAGGTAGTCCTCAACTCCACTTTCCTGCCCTTTTCCCATTACCCTTTATTCCCTTCCTGATTAAACATCTCTCGATTTTGAATATACTTAATGGCTTAACATCTATAGCTTCTATGGGAAAGAATTTCACAAAACAAAGTTAATCCTCATCTCTGTCTTCAATGGGTGACTCCTCATAGAGGGCATAGTCTCAGAATAAAGGGGCACCAATGTAAGACTGAGGTGAGGAGAATTTCTTCTCTCAGA